TTTGTCAAACTTTGAAAAAAAACTTTTACATTTAGCACATTTTGGAGTTTTCCCCCAGCAGCCATTATGTCGTTCAGTTCTTTCAGATGAATTTAATAAGCCCTCAGCTCTGCACCTATTTTTTTTACAATCTAAGCCGAATATTAAAGATGCATGAGATGAATGTGCTCATTGTCTCCTACGGCGACCGCTGCATCTCAGCTCATCATGCTTACATAGTAATTAGGAACTGGGTTTGGAAATGTCACTGCTCTATTCATTTTCACTGGGATAAAATACGCTCTCGGTGCCTTCAAGGATCTGAAATTAGGGGGACTGACACTCTTCTTTTTGAGTTATTGGACGCACAGAGCAAAGCTGCATGAGAAAAACTGCAGACCTTTGAGTACACAGATGCATTCCTGCCATCATTAAAACTAACACAGACGACCTCGGTGGAGAAAAAAGAAACATACAAATTTATATGATCAAAATTGCTCAATGTGTTTCCTATTTTCTTGTCTGAACATCAAAATGGACAAAAATGACCGCCAATTGTGATGTGCTGACACTTTGTGTAATCAAAATTTGAGGAAGAATCAGCCATCAGAGCAACGAAAGACCAAAACCCAAACAGTCTGTACCCACTCAGTGTTGTTTAAAAGTTTCTCCAAATACTTGTGTATATAAACACTCTGACGCTAGAATATGATTTGGCTTTGAGGGGACTGGCACAAATGGCTTTTGGTGACTTACATCATGCTTGGGGAGTCTAATCACAGACACTCTTGTCATATCAAGCAGAAAAAAAGTCCACTTCACAGCGAGCTGCGTTTCAACAAAAAAGAGAAAAAGATGGAGGGAAGGGTAAACAAGCCCGACGTTCCTCAGCCACCGCAGAATTCATCATTCATAGAAAAAAAATAAAAAATACCTCAAGCCCCAAAAAGAAGAGCTAATTTAATCCGAGAGGAATAAAACTCCATTTCATAGGAGTCGTTCATTCAGAACACTCATATTTCCACTGAGGAGAAACCCCCGGCTGAAACTCGAGCAGACACTTTTCGGAAGGAATGTATTCGGTGGGTTGAGGGCCAAAGCTTGCCCTGTAATTTGTGAATGTACAGAAATGTGTGAGTGCCACAGCTCCTCTAAAGATAGAAATCTTTGTCTTATGTCATTGCCGAACCTCAAACTATTTCTAATTGCCCCCCTCTCCCTACCTCTGGTCCCCTTTTTTTCTTTCCAAATGAATAACTACCCATCCAAAAGGCTCATGTGTGCCACGTCTGAACTGAAAATAGCCTGGGAGTTTACACAAGCTAATAGATCAAATTCAGAAAAAAAAAAAAAAAACAAGAAACTTTAAAAGTAGCTTCATGTATCTGAGGCTGTCCCCATCTTCAAAGTGACTTTTAAGTGGCGCTGAAAGCTGTGTGGGTGGCATTTAGAGGCAGGTATACATTGCAGACCCCAAAGGCTTTCACTGGTTTTTCTGCTAACGGTGATCACAGTCATATTAGTCCTCACAATCTGACTCATTAAACATGAAAGCTTGAAGTATCTTTGGTTTCCTTAAGCTTTAAAACAGATAGAGCTTCTGTGCAAGAACTCTCAGATTGTTTTTTACTTATAATTGCTACAAAAGACTTTTTTTGTCCTACCTTGTAAGCAGTTTTGTATTTTTCTGTTGCTGCAGGCATTTTTTTGTGTTTTTTTTGTTTAGCTAGACAATTCAGATGCAGAAAACACCTTAGTCACAAGTTTTCACACAGAAACCACCACTCATGAATGATGTGATGCTCTCATGGTTTGCAACTGTAGGATCTGTTTTCCTTTTTATTCTTTTAATGGTAAGAAACCTATATGCCGAGGCCTATTTTCTGAGGTGGGTCCGGGGGTTTCACATGTCCTCCAGGAGATCTTGTCTTGATTTCAGGTTCAGCCCACTCGGATCATTAAAAATCGTTCAGGGGCACGGCGGGCTCCGTCTTCAATGCCTGTGCGGCTGAAACCGTAGAAACTGCGTGCTGAAATGCGGAGGTCTAAATGTGACAGGCGCCCCGAGCGCACATTGCAGCTGAGTGGGGTGAAGCTGGAGCATGCGGTCACATATTAATAATGAACTAGGGCAGGAGGACGACTAAAATATCACGAGCATTGTCCCTGTCCCAGTTGAGCTGTACTTGAAATAGATGCATGATAGGTGATATGATTGGACATGATGCTGTCCTTCTTTTTTTAAGATTGCAGAAGGGTTGCAGATTTGGTCACTTGATGCAGGGACCCCTCCAGAGAGTTCTACAAGGGGTCGCTAGAGGTTAAACTCACCAAAACTATTTATTTAGGCATGTTTGCAAGGGTTGGAACTGCAATTTAGGTATGAAATAATAAATATGCATACCTAATGATGTGGGAGTTTGTGTTTGATATGTTGCAATTTACCAAAGGATGTCCTTTTTTTCTGGTGAAATCGTCTATAAAATGTGAAATTCTTACCATACTGTTTGGGCTGAGGGCACAGAAGTAAATTTAATGGAGAAGACATTGCCCCTGGAACATTTGAATTTGACTGTGATATTACCATGTTTCTAGTCATTCTGGAAAAATTTGCTTGTAGTATTTTGCATTGTTTTTAAAATCCCTGTTTTCTTACTCATTGAGCCTCCATGACACCAGAGAAGGACCAGGGGGACAATGGCCATCCTCCAGTGACCGCAGCATTATCCACAAAATATTCTCTATAAATTAGCATATATGATAGTAAGGCAACGTGGTCCTGCTGTTCATTTTGAAGCTTTTTCATTCGATACTCAGCTTTATCAGGTGAAATACCAATTTGTAAATTTCAGCTGCTCAGATGCAATTATAAAAAAAACATAAAGCAAATTATAATTGATCATAATGCAGTAAAAATAAATTATTTTTTTCAAAAGAAGTTACATTTCAAAAATGTAATTTGTTTTGCAAAATTGATTTTCAAGCAATAAAACAGCCACATATGACATGTTAACCATTAAAAAATGGAAAGTGTTTCTAAGCATCTGGGTCAAAATTAAAGCACAAACTGTTGATGCTATGGTTTTAAATTTTCGTCAAAACGCTTAACAGTATATATAAAAAATAAATTAAAAAAAAAACAACTAGATCCACTTTTTTAACCTCAACCCTTAATTATTTAAATATATGAAATTAATTTTGTCATGAAAAGCTAAAAATGTTTTTGTTTTTGATTTGAATTTAGGGCCACATCTAAGTTTAAAAATGGGTCAACATCTTTCTAGAGGGCACAGCATCAGCTAGGAAGTTTCAGGTATTTTACTTTTCATGAGTCATTAAGTAGTAGTTATTAGATGTTAAAAGTTGTATATATATATATATATATATATATATATATATATATATATATATATATATATATATATATATATATATATATATATATATATATAATTTCAGATTTTTTCCCCTCCTCCAGTAAATTGCATCCCTGATGGGACTAACGGGGGGAAATAAAGGGTTTTTTTTAAAGCCACTTTTGGCTTCTCTTCTTCCTGCTTACATGCACTTGATTTATTCCATCCTTCCTTTCCTGCAAGATGTCAACTTAAAAGAAACCGCGCGCGCACATACCGCGACTTATATTAATTGATTCTCAGCATTTCTGATGCTTCAAAACTTGTTCAGAAAATTCCTCGCTTTCCCTGATTTGTGTGAAAAAAAAAAAAGCCTGAAATTTGAAATCCTTCATTAAAAACAAACTTTCGGAGGATTAAAAATAAATACATACATAATTGTATTCCTATTAATTTCACAGGGAATACTCATTAAAATCTAAAAATAACTGTTGATTAAAAGACGCCAAAACGTAAAGAGATGTGGAAATTATTTAGAAATGTTGTTCCGTTTAAAGCAGAAATGGTTTTATTCATTTCACGCAATTTTAAAAACTGTAATGACACTTTCAAATTTAACCAAACGCAATAAATCAAGTCTGATCTAATGAATTGATGGAAATGTTTTTTTTATGGCATAAAAAATTATTAAAGGATTATTTAACAGTCTGGTTTTATTCTAAATTATTACAGATTTCCGACTGTCTAACACAGATAAAGGTTCCTCTCTCTCTGTCGCTGTAAGTGTGAAATATGTGACTCGGACTCGTCGAGCAGACGGTGATAGAAAAGACAAAAGCGCCAACTAGTGTCAGAAGAGCGCATTGCTCACAGGCTGCTGCAGGGTGCGCCTTCATTTCATGTCACTTTTAATGAATTGCGCCCCAGGCGCGCAGACGCACGCAATTATAAATCAGTTGTGTGTTTGATGTGGAGGTAATTAGGAGACTATTACCCGATTTGTTTTAATTTTCAACCTTTAATTAGGATAAGGTTATTAAGGAGATAAGAATCTGTCCTGAGCTCCTAAACTTTCCTTTATGAAAGATGGTATTTAATTGGAAAAGGCGTGGATCCGCCAGACATGGCCGATGGCTTTTCAAAAATGACTCAGTGAAATTAAAAACCGCAAGACTGTGAGAATATTTGAACAGCAAAACTGATAATAAGTAAATAAAAACAAATAAATCAATGTAATGAGACCAGATACATGAACGCACAAAGAATGAAGCTTAGGATAAATTATAAAATATAAGATTATCAGCTGTTGCACTGTATATGCTTTATTTATAACTCTGAGGTTTTAATCTAAATCTGGGATCAATTCAACACAATGCATATTTCATCAAATATCATGTAAAGCAGATGTATCTTACTGATTTACATTCACAGCTGTGTGAGCAGTAACCATAATAAATTATATTTTAAAAAGATGTATAAATATATAAAGGAGAGCAGAGATATGTATCAATAAATGAAGGATAATGTGTGACAGCGGGGCAGATCCGCAGAAGCAGGGGCGCAGCTGGATTGGTGCGCAAAAGCCCAACCCAGCGCCCTGATTGGCTGAACCCAGCCACCAAACGCTAAAATGAGTTGTGTAAAAGTAATATCGCGGCACTCTGCAGTCTGCTCAGCCTCACGGCTCCTTCTTTACGTCCCACAAAGGATAACTTTGGAAGGAAATCCACTTGGAGCGACGAGGAACCGTTCCTTTTTCCCTTCCTCAGAATTACCTTGAACCAAGCGGGGGAAAAAAACTTTTACGCACGAAAAAAAAAAGGACTTCAACTGCAGCTTGATTCTTTGTAAACGTCCGGGACATTCGAGTAGATTTTTCTTTTTATTCTTTTTTCTCGGCAGTGATAGTTTTATTTGAAATAATTTAAAAGTCGCGACAAACTGGACTGGAATTTTTTATCCGATCGTGGCTGGATTATCTTTTTTGTGGTTCTAAAATATTTAGAGTGATTTTTTTCCTCAGTTTGGTGTTTCAGCTAGGAGTTTAAACAGTCTGTGGTGTTGATGAATTGTTTACAAGCGGCTGAAAGTATTCAAGTGTGCGGTAGATCAGAGCGCAGATAGAAAATCCAACCCGCAGAGTTTGGAGAGCCTCGGTTTGTTGTTAGATAAATATACAACACGGATGCTCTGCAGAATGAGACTTTAGGAATTAACTATTTAACGTCAAACTAAACAGAGTTTGAAGGTGGTTTTTTTTTTTTTTTTTATTCGATCAGCGGATCTTTTTTTGCGCTGTTCTTTCACATCCATCCTTTGAGACCAGCGGCGTCTGGAAGAGAGAGACAAGAAGAAAAAAAAACTGTTTCTCCTCCCAAAAGTTTCTGATACAACCCCAGTCAGGTGGCTCTGACCCAAGCTGTTGTGATGCATATTCCCGTAGAGCCGCCCACCACTAGACGGTTCACACCGCCCTCCACGTCCTTCCCCTGCAGTAAGATCGGTGACGGCAACGGGCCCATGGCCACCCCGGGGCCCCTGCGGACGCGGCCAGACAACAGGAACGTGGTGGACGTCTTGGCAGACCACGCCGGGGAGCTGGTGCGCACTGACAGCCCCAACTTCCTCTGCTCCGTGCTGCCGTCTCACTGGCGGTGCAACAAGACGCTCCCCGTGGCTTTTAAGGCAAGACTGATGCTTCTTATTATTTCTCATTTAATCAGACACAAAGTGATTTCCCAACAGCTTTCAAATAACCAAGGATTTTATTTCTTTTATAAAATGGTCTAGAGATTCACTTTCTGAATTAAAGCAAAAAAAGTTAGATTATTAAAATATCAGTTTAAGCTGGGATTGACTATTGCGCATTGTAAGACAACATTTGATTATGCATATTTTTTTATACATTTTGCATATTTTATCCATATTTTTTTTATATCCAAATGCGAATATAGAGAGATAGAATGTGCATCATGCAAATCTACATGTTTACATTAACATTTAACTAAATGTCAGCAGTAAACGAATAGCCTGCTGTAGGAAATCTCTTGCATGCAAATTTAGATACTCATTACATTGCTGGAAATTGTGGTTAAAATAGTCAATTCCGTTTTGGAGCTAATATGAGGAGAGTTTGAGTCTGTTTTTAGGCACTCTCCTTAAAGTTTGGGTTTTATTTTTTATTATTTTTTATTTTTTGGTGACCCGGGGTGACCGCCTGCTCTCCTCTCCCGCGCTTCAGGTCGTTGCGCTCGGAGACGTTCCCGACGGGACGCTGGTAACCGTCATGGCCGGGAACGATGAGAATTATTCGGCTGAGCTTCGAAACGCCTCCGCGGTGATGAAGAACCAGGTAGCCCGCTTCAACGACCTCCGCTTCGTGGGCAGGAGCGGACGAGGTGAGAAAAAAAACCTCTGAAACCCTATTTCTCTCCTTTTCACACACATACATGACGCACGCGCACACAGAAATAAAGGGGCCTGCTGACAAACATGATGAGAAAGCTTCTGCTCATTTAATTATAAATAGAATAATGATCATATATGTCTGTTGAAGTGAACTCCCTCCTGCAGAATATGAAAAATATCTTTTTTATTTCTAAAAAAAACGAATCAGTTCATTTTTAAGAAAGCTTCTGCTCTAAATCTGACTCTGATGTCTATTCTTATCACCTGAACCATCGTGGCCTGATGCGCAAATGCAACTTCTTAGAATAATGTTCAAAAATTCAACGGGTTACAAATAATTATCCACACTTAAGGTGGAAAGGGATGCATAATCAAGCAACCCAACAACCCATTTTTGTCTTCAGCTGACCCACCTTAAAAATTGTATGTCTTTATCGTCATTGTTGGGTTTAATTTCTATGCAGAAATTCACACATCAGAGGGCCTTATTGCAGGATGTTGCGGTTAAAGCGCAGGCCTGCTGACTGCACTTTTTTATACCCTATCAAGCAAATCAAAACCTCTCAATGTTAAGGCATAAACAAGCAATTGTCTTTAAAAAAAATAGAAATAAAAAGCTTGAATGTCACAAAGTGAAAGAGGAATTTCTTTAATTATCAACGCGCTTTTTAGTTGCCCCTCATCAAATGTCAAATATCACGTGATCTGATGCATAAGTGAATAACTTGCGACTAAAATCCAACAATGGAGATAAAAACAGTAGATCACATGTTTTATTTTTACAATAAAGGGATTTTGCTGTCCTCCCACACACCCTTTTTTTAAGATAACAGCCACACACACACTCATCATGATGGTGCATTGCCTTTTCCCTTTGTTTGGCACAAATTCTCTCATTCTATGCAGGACGGAAAAACAAAAAGTTAATATTCCAACTGTATATATATATATATATATATATATATATATATATATATATATATATATATATATATATATATATATGTGTGTGTGTGTGTGTGTGTGTGTGAGGATTGTCTGGTGTGGGAGGGGGGTTGCAGAGGTGTTCCCCATGGACCCCCTCAGTTAGCTGGGTTTTGCAGTGTTTTACAATAAACTGTTGCTGTAAGTTCTTTCTTAAAAATCTACCAGACATTCTGTCTGTTTCTTTTATGTATTTAGTCAAAGCAACAAAAGAAACAGATTTGAAAACATAAGAGAAGAATATAGTCAGTAATTTGTGGATTTAATCTGGCTATGTTTATTTATAAAGCAATTCCTTAAAACTGTAATGTAATCTTGCTTTGGTTTGGTTTTTGGTTGATTATATACTTCTGGATATAAACTTTGTCTCAATTACACAGATTTAAGTTCAATTGCATATTTTCCAATTAGATTTGTCTTTTTAATATGATGCAATCTGTTTTAGGGACCAATCCTAACTAGAATAAGGCATCTCCTATAAGCGAGGTATCAATATAAACGCTTTGTTATTTTTGCTGCAGGGAAGAGCTTCACCCTGACAATCACCGTGTTCACCGGACCGCCGCAGGTGGCCACCTATCACCGCGCCATTAAAGTCACAGTGGACGGACCCCGGGAACCCCGCAGTGAGTTTGCTCACACAGACGTCATTTCACACATCTCAAATCTGGTATACACTGTGGTGAGATGCACTGCCACTCTATCAGAGCGAGTGTGTTGGTGTCAGTATCTGCTCACCATAAGAGAAGTGCATGAGTCATGTGAAGCTGATATATAAAAAAAAAAACCTCCAACAAAGAACAAGGCAGGTACGTGTCCATGCGTAGGTGTACCGGTAAGTGCTGTGTAACTAGCTCTACTGCAGAAATCCAGTTTTTTTTTTTTTTACCAGGTTTGGTTTTTGGGGTTAAGATAAAAAATGCAGTTTGGGTTAAAACTGAGGTTAGATATGAAGCCTCTAGAGGATGAAGGTAGAGCACCTTATTGTTCTAAGCAGAACAGCAGTGCAGGTGTTGGTGAGGGGTGCAGGAAAGGCCCGGTAAGAGGAAACTGCAGCACATTAAGGCGAAAACCAAAGACCACTAAGAGGAGTTGAGTGAGACTCCAAGCCACATGTGGCTCCGCTCCTCCTCGCCTTCCTCTCAACGCTGGTCAGAAGGGTCCTACCTGCCTGACCACATAAGTGGCTCGTTGATTTAACGCAGGGCCACAGCGGGCTGAAGCTGTTTGCACCCGTTCCTCATCCCCACGCAGCTGCGTTTCACATGTGAGGTAGAAGCAGGCGATATGAAGGGACAGAGGGGCTTAATGTTACTCAGATGCATCAATCACTTGAGGGCAGAACTGTGCGTGCATAAATTTGTTGCGAGGCTCAAAGATAGACAAGACAGGGCGTCTTTTTATGAAGGTATCTATGAAGGGAGTGTGTTTATTATGGCGCTAAAGGTCTTTCCGAACAAATGGATAGCTGTGGTTTGTGTGGAGGTGGATACTGGGACAGGGTGGATTTAACCCAGTCAAAACAGAGCGCAGGAGTGTCACATGAGTGGGGATATGAGCTGCATCACCCCCCCTCATCATGCTGGATGCTATTTGCAGAGGTATAAAACAGAACACTGGCTGCATAATGGACACTATGCATGCATGGTTTCAATTTCTGCTGTTTAATAGAAAGAGAGAAGTTCTCTGAAGACGTGTGTGTCGGTGCATAAATGCATTCTGATGAGCAGACCCCAGTTTGAAATAACTGTGTGCATTAAAGTTGTCTCCCGTCTGTCTGTCGACACTTTCCGGCTCCGGCTCCATGCTACTTTTACTCTGGCACTTGGTGCTATAAAGTGACAGTTTAATATAGGCAAGGAGGAATTTAAGGCTCTAATAAAAAACACTTTTACACTGAGCTAAATTCACAGAAGGAGCAAAAATAGACTTCTGTTAAAGCTGATTTAGATAAATATAATTTTCATATTTACAAAGTAGGACTTTATGAGTTCAACCATCTGATATCAGAGGAAAAGGGAAAACAGCAATGGAAACATCTAATCACCCCGCAGCATCACCAAAGCAATTTAAACTGCCGACAAAACAAGCAAAAGCTGCATATTTATTTTGTTCATTATGCTGGACAGAACCAGCTTTCAGATCCGGGCCTGAGATGGTATTTCACCGCATTGGAAAATTTGTAGCCCAGGAATAAAAGTTGCACGAGATGATATAAAGGAGCTCACATATTGAAACAAGGAAAACATTCTCAGCGTCATGTCGAAGCAGAGTTGAAGAAAACACTCCTTTCAGAAGTTATTGGCATCATAAGAATAATCAGATTCCTCTCTTGCCACACGAAAGAGTCTTTTATCACCGCTATTGAACAAAATAGACAGACGCTATAAAACTATCAGCATTTTCTCATTATCTTATTATGAATCACATCCTTTTGGGGACAGTTATATTCTCCCCAACTGCTTTTATCTGCTTATGGTTTATAATGCCACACAAAGAGCTCTGCAGAAAGACTAAAGCTTCTCCACAGGCAGCAGGGCTGTCCTGCTCATGGCTTCACGAGGCAGTTTGTGCAGGGGCCCTCAGCATTTGCATGACTTCCAGGCGAGCCGTGGCAGCAGGGCTGGCAGCGAGGGGGGAGGATGTTTTAATTCATGTTTACCGATCCAGTCAGGAGAACCTGATGGACAAGAATGAAACGGTGGCTCGCCTTGGGCAATGACTTAAAGAATGCCATGCCTTCTGAGAACACCTGAGCAGCAAGGTAGAAACACACACCGGGTGCAGTTGAGTTCACTAATGTTGCTCCGTAAGACCACAAACACACTGATGCAAAAACACAAAGATAAGTTCTGCTCCTGAACAGAAAGTATGCTTTTCTAAGTATTTTTGTCCCTTTTTTTTTCTGCTGCTGATTTCCTCATCACACATCCGGCATTCGTCATTTTAACAGCACCTCCCACCAAACGCACACGCATATACCCCCCCCCCCCCACACACACACACACACACACACACACACACACACAACCTCCTCCAGCTCTATCTGTCACACTTTATTATCTACCGTTGGCTATGCTTTAACTGGAAACAGAGCTTATAATTGCCGATGACAACAGCAAGGGACGCCGTGCAGAAAGCAAACATGAGAGAAGAAAAAAAACCCAAAAAATAAAGTTATAAATAAATAAAAGAGTTCCTGTTGTAATGCTGATTCCAGGAGTTATTTTAACTCCTAAAGCTTTTTTTTCTCACACCTCTGCCTAAACATAACATCATTATTCATCTATTTACCAACCGATTAGGCTTAAGAGACACTCACCTTATGTGAGGCTCAGGGTACAAAGAAATATATATAAGGAGGTATTCTGAACATGCAAGAGGATATTTAGAAATCCTCTTCATAGCTTGTAGGAATGGGTCGAGGTTCTAAAGTCTAGAAAATACCAGTCAAGGGAAAATACTTAAACATGTGTCTAAAAGTGGTTTTAAAATCCCAGTAAAAAAAAATGTATTTGCAAAACTTCCCTCTTATGGGATTCTGCTTGATCCTAAGTTTATAGTTAATGTATTACGCTGCAAAAACAATGTAGAAATAAGTCAACATTTCTTAAATTAAGTGTATTTACCCTCAATTTGAGTAGGTAAATAAGATGATTTGCCGATGGAATGAGATTTTTTTTACTCTGGAAATAAGATAATTAGATAATATGCACTTAAAACAAGACAATGTTTTGTTTTAAGTGCATATTGTTTTTTTTTTTTCTTTTTTCAACTGTAAGTTATCATGCTCCATTGGTAAAGTGTCTCACTTACCTCCCCAATTCAAGAGAAAATGCGCTTATTCTAAGTAAAAAAAACTTTTTTAGATTTCAAATTTTTGCAGTGTGAGAATGCAAAATGCTTATTTCTTAAAAAATCTGTATTTTATTTATACACATACACACACACACACACACATACACATATATATATATATATATATATATATATATATATATGTGTGTGTGTGTATGTTTCATGTTCCTTAGGTAAATAAACAGGCAGGAGGCTCTCCTCCGTCTATGGTTGCTATGGTGATGTTTACTCACATCTACAGCCTCCTAAAAATGTTTTTATACACTAGTAAACTAAAACACTAGTATATTTATTAGTAAAGATCTGCACATTGTTTGTGTCTGTTATTTGCATGCCTCAAAGTGATTTCCCCAAATGAGCACGTTTTTATCTTTTTATTTTTCAATTTGTGCATTGTTTAAATAACGCTCATTCAATGAGTGACTTTATAAGTATCGTGGAAAGCGATTGCCACAGCTTGAAGAGCGGTCTCGCTTTTTTATTGTTAATTGTGTTATTCTACTGAGCATTGTTTTGATTTGCGTGGTTGCTACCATGGCAACATCTCTTCATAAAACTGATTTCAAATGGACTTAGAGTAGAAAATACTTATCCATGAATTATAGAAATAAAAAATATATACCTTAAATCAATTTATTTATGAATAATACCAAAAAAATTACATATTATCGTAAGTTGCCTTGAAAAATTGTAATGACTTGCATATCATGTACAGAAACATGTATACAGAAACAAAGAAATAAAAATAGTTTTTACAGTCAGAGCTGAAAACTGAAATTGTCTTATCAGCACCTTCTGTTTCAATTAACTGAGGGGAAGGTGGCAGTTAGTGTCTCAGAATAAAAATGATCTCTGTACTGAGTGTGCAACACCTGTTTGCACCCAGATGAAGGTGATACACCCCAAAGGGCCCCAGTCTGCAAAAAAGAAAAAAGAAATCACAAGAGCACCCTCATGTTTTTGTGCTTTTATTTGCTCGGCAGGGTGTGTTCTCTCAGCTCCAGCAGGAGAATGGCGGGCGTGGGGTAAAGATTCATAGTGGTGGTGGTGGTGTGGTGGCGGGGGGGGAGTGAGCATGTTCAGGTTGGCGGGTTGAGTCTATTTGCATTTGGCACACAGACTGTACAAAGTATGCAAATGACCAAACAATGACATTTGCTGTGTTATTTTTCCTATGATATTGCAGTCTCTCTGCAAAGCAAACAAAAAGACAGCAAGCATGTTGATGCATTTGCGTGTGTTCCAGCTTATGCACCTGCCAGGTGCATCTCTTAGAAAGAGAAAAAAAAAAAAGAAAAAAGAATCACCACCCCCTCTTAATATATGGTGCCACGCCCATGCTCCACAAATCACATGAAAGGGCTCACCCTCGGTGCGAAACGTTCTCTCAAAGGCAACTTTGATGTTTGAAAATGGAGATGGGAGTCTTTGAAAGAAAGGCCTACAGGTGTATCGGTGCCAGGGAAGGGGGGGTGGGAGGCTGAACAGCCGTGTGAGACTCTGGGTGCTTTCCTGAACATCTATAATCTACAGACCCCAAAGTCAGAAGTCTAAATAATCGAACTCATGACCATCTAATTTGAGATTCAGTCATGAGGGGAGCTGCCTTGGTGCCATTTAGCAACAGATGACAATAGAAGAACTTTAATCTGTCCTTTCAGTAGGCCGTTGCCGGGTTCTCAAACACAGGATCCCTGCAGAGAAATGCAGCACAGCCTCAATGATTAGATGCAGAGCAAATATTGGCTATATGATAAATCCACTGGAA